CCAGCCCCGCCGGGCTCACCGCACGTCTCTCAGCGTCGGTCGTGTCGATCACCCGGCGGTCTGACACCTGCCGCGCACACACAGGCAGCGCCACGCGATCACTGGATACTAACATTCACTCTCGTCGACCATCAACAATGAACTGTGCGGCGTACGTTTGCCTTGCCTTGACTTTCAGTTGCCGGTTGGGCACGTCGGTGTAGATGGCGTCCCACTGCTGCACCGTCATTCCCTTCAAGGCCAAGATCGCCTCGATCAGCAGCATGTCAGAAATGGCGTCGCCTACCGTCTATGGGAGGAAAAGCGGTCATGACTTAAGATGACTACGTTGGTATTATTAGATGAGTACCTGGTTGGTGACGTTGATGATGTGCTGCAGAAGAATGGCCGCTCTCTTCCTGGTGTCATCGGTGTTGACGTCCTCGGCCAGTTGTCTGATCTTTTCCTCGGCCGCACGGCTGAACAACACCTGCACATGCACACGTTGTCACTGAATGCGTGATGGCGAGGGATATTGCTGTTTTGTTTTGTTTTTTTAAAGAGGAAAATGATAAAAATGAAATCTGTACTTATCACCATCTACATCCTTTGAGAGGCTGTTTATATGCCTCAGTAGATGCTGCTGTTTTGTTTTTTTTGGGGGAGGGGGCGTTTCACAATGGCGTTTCAAATATAAGACCGCCTTTAATACTGTGCAGGGAAGACACCATTTCAACTAATCATTGTGACTGCTTTCATACCTCGGTAGATGCTGCTGTTCTGGTTCGCAAGACAGGGAGAAATGAGCTCACTCTAGCTGGAATCCATCGAGGTGACTTACCGTCCCGTGGCCGTTAGCCTCAAAGTAAACGCTGGTGTCAAACTCCTGCGCCGCGTGATGGAGGTGCTTCACTCCCGTCTTCGTGCACCTCACAATCACCTGAACCAACACGCAATAGCCCGTATAGTCTTTCCTTTGTGAAAGCGTAGTCACCTGTGTGCTCACCTTCATTGTGTCCTCCAGGTAGCGCGTGGAGCTGCCGTTAGCGTAGGCCGTTTGCACCACAGCTATCTTTAAATTTAAGCGAGCCTGAAAAAAAACGTTGATCAGCCTCTGTCCCAAACCACCAGGCAGCAAAAAACTAAACATCTGAGACTGCTGACTTGCGGCACGATGGTTTCCCATCCGTACCTGCATGAGCAGCTCTTTGAGGAACGTGCTGATGAGCGTTGCTATCTTGTCTCCGTCTAGGAGGTGGAAGCGGTCCTCGCTGTCGGTGTAGTAATAAACGATACGGTCGGCGTCGCCGTCAAAGGAGCAGCAGCGCTCGCCGCTTTGGACCTTGACCCCTACCACAGAAACCGGATGAAACATGTTCAGGTTAATGACGGTTGAAACCAAAAGATGAAAATCTATGATTGTATATTTGTTTTCAAAATTAGAATTGCAAAATCGCGTTGACCAGTGTTATAGGAAATTACTCATATTCATAGCATATTTTAATGTCAATTTAAAAAAAATGCAAAAAATTTAAGTCAAATAATTTTAGATCTAAAATATGAATATTTGATCAGGATATTAACCAATCAGAACTACCAAAAATTTATAAATGCTAAAAAAAAAAAATTTAAGTGTGAATTTATATAATTAAGTACATTTGTTCATCAAAGGACAAAAAAAATTTAAAAAACAGTAGGTGGCAAAAAATAAAAACCTGAATTAAAATGCATATCATATATGACATGTAAACATATAATTCAATGCATTTCAAGAATACAGGAATAAGACAAGAAAAAAATCCAATCAAAATACTTAGTACTATAATGAATGTATAAAAAAATAGAACAATAATCCCTTCTGGCACATTCCGTGACAATGCCAATCAAATCTCCTGAAGTCTTATTGACGACTGCAACAAATCCAAAAGGCTACACAACCCACCTGTGGGTGGCTTTTGCTGCACTTTGACAAAGTCGGCCCCGCACTGGTGGTTGAGCTTTCCGTGACCTTCGTTGAAGAGGGAAATCTGCAGCTCTCTCTTGAGGTGACGCTCCATCTCTCGCAGCTTCAGCGCGCCGATGCCATTGGCGCCGTCCACCGTCAGGTGCTTCTGGTCATCAGTACGGTTGGGTGTCTCCACGCAACACACATAGACAAAGGCGGTGAGTAACTAAGTATTTGTGTTTTTATTTTTATGATGACCTTTAACTGCCTACATGCTTGTAATTTACTCTTTGGAACTTTCTTACATTTTTGGTGAGCTCGATAAACGCCTGGCAGAGTTTCCCGTAGTATCCTTCCACCGTGGCCTCGCCGTATTGCCCGTGCGTGTTGTGACAGCAAACCATGTAGTGAAGCTGCGGGGTGGTCACCAAGCCGTAGTCTTTTTGGGACAGACGTACGTGAGGAGGTGAGATTTCAAACTCAAGATATAGACTCCACCGTACGGGCGAGTGACGCCAACCTTTGCTGCGTCCTCCCAATGACGATACGCCATCCAGGACTGCTTGTGACAGCCTTTCACTGCTGCTCCTGCCAAAATAAATATTAGAGAGAATTACAACTTGTGTATTTGAAACAACCAGATCGCTTTGAATGTCTGCTAGCTGTAAGGTAACACGCAATTGGCTAACAAATAGCATTTAGCATTTATCGTCGTGCAGTCACAACTATTGAAGCAAGGGAAAAATAAATATCGACACTATAGTGACACATGTAGACGGGACTAATCATGGGCATATATTCTTTATCCTCTGTGAATACAACTAATGTGTGTCTTTATTTTTCTAGAAATGCAATCAATAAGTGTTTCCCCTATTTTTAACTTGGGTTGGGCTCTTGTGCATGTGGGTGATTTCATGGCACTTGTGTATTTTTTTCTTCTTCTGTTGACCAGTGTTATCGAGCACCTGGTGTCTTTGCCCACAAACACTAAGGCCCCCTGGCTCTTGTCGATGTCTTCTTTCTCCAGGATGTCCTCCAGCACCGAAAGCAACTCCTGCTGCTCCGCATTGGCCAGCCGGGTGGCGTAGCCCTCCCAAGCGAGCGTCACCATCTCGCCCATGGGGTCAATCAGCTTCACCCCGTTGTCTTCCTGCGAGACCAACAGAAAGTTAGGACAGAGGAAGGTGTCTTTAATTTGGGTCAACCAAGGAGCACCTCGGGGTTGTGGGAGGCAGTAACCATGACGCCGATGGCGGCTTTGGTTTGTTTGGCTCGCAACGCGGCCAGCAGGCCCATACGGAACATGACGTGATCCAGACGGCTGGCGTTGGTCCTGAAACCAGCCGTGCCATACTGCAAAACCAAACCAGGGGGCTTGGGGTGCACCTCAGACAGTTTGGAAACTTGCTCCAAGTGGGCCATCACTGAAACAAACACCGCCAAAACACCAGTCAGCCAGCAGTGTGATTAGTCTGTAACTGGTATGATTCCATACTTAACCGAAATACTTCTGGAAGCACAGGCATACTCTGTTGCAGTAGGTTTGAAATTAAAGGTGGGCTAACTTTTGAGTTCAACGACAGAACAACAAACGACAGATGGGTTATTCGTAGATGAGTTAAAGAAAAATAAACTATGTAAAGACTGTATTAATGATAAAGTAATAGGGTTCAAGTTAAAATATGCTTTAATGTCCATACTGTCAGAGAAATAAAACTGTCAAGAGTGCAAGAAGAAAGGCAAAGTTCAAACTCCATAAACTCGTGTAAATGACAAGTTACGCCCAACTCACCAACGCCGACTCACATTATTTCGAGTCGCGATTTTAATTCCTACAGACCTACACGCCAATCTGATGCTATCAACACATTCAAATGTTTGTAAACTTGCATTGTCGTCAAATTGATTTCGGTCAGACTTACTGATGTTGTTTTCAACCTAGTCGTTTGCTGCATGAGTCTTGGTTTTGGCGACGTGGCTGAACTTCCGGGTGCGTCATGACGTTTGGGCGCGGCTTTTAGCCCCAGCGTCGAGCTGTAATAATTTATAAACACACGCATAAAATAACAGTGCATTTAATATGCCCTTAGCTGATATGGTGAGGCAAGAATTGGATGAAAAAAGGCAATAATTAAAGGACGTTTTCGAGTGAGGGGAAGGACAGCATTCCCCCCCCCCCGTGGCACGTCACGTGACGCAATGCAATGCGAAACCTGTGGTAAACACGGACCACACGGGGTTAATTTGCTAAACATACAAATGAAGCAATAAACGAAAACCAATTTCTGAAATTTAAAGAACCTTGGGACGAGAAAAAAGTACGGCACACAATAATTTAACGACGTTCTCGATACACGCGGTGGTGTGTTGGGGGTGGGGATTACAGGAACGCCGATGCCATAGTGACGTCATATACATGTCCAGTAGTTATTTTTCTTCATTACCATTCAATGAAAAACCCGTGAAAACATAATTACGACATACTTATATACTTTATGTGTTGTGTCACTTTGTCGAAGTTGGATGTAACTGTTATTGCGGGTGGGGCAGTAAGTATTGTGCACGAGCTGCGTTGGCCATCTTCAAAATGTGTCGTGAACAGTGTTGGAAAACAAACTTCTATTTCTAACATACCATAACTCTCCAGGTCTATGTCATACAACATACCACGGAGTAAGGCTGCAAGGTCATCAAAATAAAAAAAAACCTTTCCAATGTCAGAATCCCCATTTGCTAAATCAGCTAACAGAAATCACTTACAGGTATAGTGGCAACATACATGATTTGTGTCTTCTGGTGCACTGCACCAAAGCAATATATGCGCAAACCTAAATCCTACTTAATTTTGGGACTTATATTGATTGGTAATAGCTTCACGACCCGATGCTCAGGTTCGATTCAGTCAACCATAATCCATGTCACGGTCATTTGTTGACCCTTAACTGCACACAGAGTCGACGCCTGCTGGCTTCTCTGGCCACACTCGTGCCTACTCCCCCTTTAAGAGACGTGGGCCGGTCGGTGTGTCACCCACCCGTGTCTGAGTTCCCTCTAGCGTGGGGAGGAGAGTTAGATGGGCCATACTGATTGAGGAGAATAAATAAAGAGGAAAGGAGAATAGGGATTTCCGTCGCGGCTTCTTTGCTCCTCCTCCTCCTCCTCCAATTTTTCTTTTTTTTGCGCACACGTTTTGCGCATTGGATGCCGCAGAAAAGCGCCGCACATTTTGGACGACTGAAAGGAATAATCCGAACCGGTTTATGGAGCGTTGATTTTAACCCTCAAAAGGAAAATTGTGCTTGTTGATTGGAACGATTCGATTGAAGAGCGAGCAAAAGAGCGGCTCGTTACGTAACCGAGTGGCTCCCGAGCTGTCCACAGTGCTGAAAAGCGCGCATCCGCGTAAGTGCAACCCCCGCAATAGCTCATTTCATCCCCACAAAAAGCTCCGTTTGCTATGACGTAAATCACCGAGACATTCTCTTCTAATTATACAGGGAGAAGGTCACAGGCCCGTTTGTCGTGCTGCTGGTGGTGATACAGATTGATCGATTTTTCCCCCCCCTTAAGTATTCCTGAGAAGAGGGTCCAAATGTCGGGTCAGACACTCACGGACCGCATCGCTGCGGCCCAGTATCAGTTGACTGGTTCGGACATGGCCAGGGCCGTGTGCAAGGCCACCACGCACGAAGTGATGGCGCCCAAGAAGAAGCACCTGGAGTGTGAGTACAAGTATTGCCATCCCCCGTTTAGGCAGGCAGGCCCTTTTTTTTTGCTGCATGCAGGGCTGCTGTTAGTGGTCTCGTGCAAACCCTCCTAACCTCTAAGGATGATTTGGCAAGCATAATGGCCAAGGGCATAGAGTAACACAATCACGCACGCATGCCATATCATTGTAGTCATGAAAAAAAAAAAAAGGCTTCAGTGCTGCATGCATGCAGGTGGGTTAGCAGTTAGCATGTAGCGTCGTCTGCACAGTATCCAGAATCTGCACAGTATCCAGAATCGTCGACAGTAATTGACTGATTGACTTTGCTGCGAGGCAAAGATCGTAACTCTGTTTACATTTTGACGAGAAATCTACCCTTCTCCCCCCACACCACATTGCAATTAATTGAATTGCCATTATTCTGATCCAGCCCCCCCAAATATTTTTCTATTAAACCTTTTAAACGATGGAATAAATGTATTTCCCTCTACAGAGTGTTGATCTGGTGTTTTGGATGTAAGCAAGTATTTCTATAGTAGTTTTCACAAAAAGGATTGGCCAAGTGGTTTGTCGGGGAAGGCTTACTCGAGTAGCTGAAGTTTATTTGGGGCATTTTTAATACGAGTTTGAATGTGATTGGTTAATTCTGAACACTAAAATTTCCAGTTATAAAGGACACTTGTGCAAGTACATTATCTCAGCTTTTTTTTTTTTTTTTTTTTACTTGAGAATAGTTGGAATCGGTTGAATGCATTATGAAATATAAAAAAAAATGTCTCTATACTTGGGAGAAAGTGGGAATTTGGGCAATGTGGATTAACGAATATTGTCTAAAAAATTCCCTTTTGCAACACTTGGAGAGAGTCAGCCAGACACATGCAGACATGTTTTTTTTTTGCTCTGATCTTTACCGCCACTGGTGCTCTCGCATCTTACATTGTGATCCGCTACCCTTGTGAATAATTCACTCATCAGCCAATGACTGTCCTGCATTATTTACACTGCAAAAGGCGACAATCTTAGATTGCTTTTCTTGCCTCATCTTCAAACTGACCCTCAGAATTGGCAGGCTCAGACGCCATCATCATTACCATCACACAAAACACGATTGGTGGTTTATGCTCGTATTCGCCTCAAAACCTCATTTGCACACTGGATGTCTCTTATGGGATCAATTAGATGTGGCTCAACACAAAGTCTGGTTTAAGACTGTGCTGTGGTGTATTTGTAGGCGAGACTGCTGCGCTATGTAGGCCAGCGCGCTTCTTTGGCATGCCGGCAGGAGGATGTTTGTAACCCAGATATTGCTGAAACGTGCATTCTGCTCACCCGTGTCACTAGAAATACATGCCACTGCCACTGATAAAAACGTTTTGGGTAACTGAGCCCTTCAAGAAGGGACCTGCTGGACGAAAATCACTCCTGAATACTATCACGTCGCAATTACAGAAATCAGCATGACAATACAAAAATACAAGATATAACGGCATGCAACTGGGCCACAGACTTCAACTTGAGCAATTTGGAAACAGTATTTAACATGAATCATGAAACTAAATTGTCCTCCGGGAAATTAGGTGCCACGGCTGTGGTTCAAATGAGGCACCAGGAGGCATTCGTCGAGAACATGAGGCTGCGCAAGGTCAGCCGACTCAACGCCCGAGGCTATAAACAAACCCGTGGCCATGTTAAAAATAAAGCATGCCTCATAAAAAAATAAAATAAATATATTGTGTTAAAAGCAACACTGCAGAGTATACCAGCTTAATTAAAAAGGCCTGGATGGCACACTATGTACATTTGTGAATAAAGTGAGACAACATTATTTCAGTATTCATATTTTTGGTGAGATTTTTTTTTGCTTGATGGCGTGCCCGTGACATTTCTCGAATGCCTTGGCCTGATGCATCTTGGGAACGACTGCACTAGTACTACGTTGAGAACACAATTTCCGTACTGTGCCTTTAATGTCATAGCCAGCCTCTTTGCACTGACTTGATGATGCTATCTTGCTAATAAGAACTCTGCAGGATCACTTGTTGCCATGGCGACACTCACACGGTGATTCTAATGTCAGTTTTAGAGACCCAGTAAAGCAGATTCGGAGACTTGTTTCGAAATACAGTTCTACATATTTAAAGATAATTGCCGAAAACGTGCAAAGACTCGGAAAACTGAAACGGAATTGTGGGGACGTATCGTTGAGCCAATTTTCACTATTTTAGGTTTGTTGATTTTATATAAAAACTTGAGTGCCTTTGCATACATCGGCATTCATGTGACGCGATTGCAAAGCGCAATTAGCCAGTGACGACACCACAAAAAAAAAAAAAATGCATCGTCCCCTCAGACAGTTGGCTGGCGTGGCCGCTTTACAGCGCCTCGTTGTAAGCAGCGAGTGTGCACGCCAAAAACAAGGGCAAGCGAGGAAGGGAAAATGCCCCCCCGCCCCCCAAAAGCCTGACTGAAAAGCAAAAATGTGGACAGATACTTTGCACTGGCGTGACGGCTTTAGAACGCCTCATTGTAGTGGCATTGAAAAGCCCTGTGACGACCCGGTGGGATATATTTAAGCCACTGGAGGCTTTGAGTCGATATATTCTTACGGCGCAAACATTTAGTTACGTGTATGCTTAACACAGGTGCTAGATCAAGTCGCATCCATTTCCCAGGACTAGTCTTGATCTTTTTTTGGTTCTCCATCTCTTGTATTGATTTCTCAATGGAGCGTGTTGGCATAACCCATTAAAGTAGCCAACAGGAGAGCTCACAGGTCATTCTTAGAACGAGTGGATTACCGTAAGAGTCTTTATTTAGCTCAGTCAATCCTCATTAGCATGATTATTATCCGTGTTTGTTTACTACAGGTGTGGCTATCTTCATTCAAATAACGATCATATGAGGTGACCGGCGGCGTATGAGCGATGAAGCAGTGCTTGCTGCAAGCGCAGGGTGTCCAATAAACACTTGTGTGATATTACATAAGGAGCCGTTGGTTGCGCTTGAACAGACTCCGGGCGGCAACTGTCAGCCATGTTGCACGTACAGTCATGTCAACAGCGGCGAATGGAGCAAGCACGTGGGCTCGCTCCAGGTTCTCGACCGTGCCGCTTGTCTGCAGCAGAGTGGGCGAGTCTATTTTCGGCAAGGCCAAGGCCTGCTCAGTGTTTAACAGCCTTCGTCTGTTTCCATTAATGAAGCCGCCTGCCAATACGTGACGCTCGCCTTTTCGCTGACGTCAATGTCACAGCCTTCGGGACGCTCTTATGACACACTCACCGGACACAGTTTAGTACTTTTGCACAATTTACCGATAATGAGATGATGTTAAGGTGTCCCATCTGGCTTTAACGACACTGTCAAAAGTCACATCAGTTGTGATTTTCGTGACCCTTGAATGAGTTTTGGGGGTGTCATGTTGGTCAATCCCTTTGCCTTTGCAGACCTGGTGTCGGCCACCAACACCACTAACGTGAACATCCCCCAGATGGCCGACACGCTTTTCGAGCGGGCCACCAACGCCAGCTGGGTGGTGGTCTTCAAGGCCCTCGTCACCACCCACCACATGTGCGTGCACGGCAATGAAGTATGTGCAGAGCCCTTTGCATCCCTGTGCTTCTTCCTACTTTGTTTAAAAAACAAAAAACAACCAAAAAAAAAAAACATGATTTCCCTTGCAGAGATTTATCCAGTACTTGGCCTCCAGGACTTCGCTGTTCAACCTCAGCAACTTCATCGACAAAACTGGCTCCCACGGTAAAATTGTTGGAACGACAGTGAAAAGCACTCAGGGTCAACAACAAGGCGCTCTAAAGTAGCCGTGGTCAAAAATACAATTCGTGCTCTCTCTCCTCGTGTTGCTCTAAAGTCGCTTCTCTTTTTGAAGGCTACGACATGTCGACATTCATCAGACGGTACGGCCGCTACCTGAACGAGAAAGCCTTCGCCTACCGCCAGATGGCTTTCGACTTCACTCGGGTCAAGAAGGGGTACGCCAACGCCGCCGCCGCCGACCGGCAGTCGCGATCGTCGCAACGTCACTTGATTTGATGTTTGCTTTGCCAACCAGTGCCGAGGGCGTGATGAGGACCATGACCACAGAGAAGCTCTTGAAGGGCATGCCCGTCCTGCAGACTCAGATCGACACGCTTCTGGAGTTTGACGTGAGTCGCCACGTTTTCCCTACTTCTCACGGTTAATAATTACCTCCTAAATGTCAATGACGGTGTGGGTGTGAATGTTCGTTTCTCTTTATATGTGCCCAGCAACTCCCCCGCGACCCTCTTCAGCATAAGCGGTGGAGGAAACGGAGGGATGGATAAAATGTCTTACCTGGTTGCTTTGCAGGTTCATCCCAAGGAGCTGAACAACGGCATCATCAACGCGGCGTTCTTGCTGCTCTTCAAGGATTTGGTCAAGCTCTTCGCGTCCTACAATGACGGCATCATCAACATGTTAGGTCAGTTGGAGTGGCGCCTCCAAAGCAGGCAGGGGTAAAAAAAAAATTTAAATTGACAACAGTACCTGAATAAAATAACTCAATGTAAATGTAGACATTTTATACAAATTGTTTTTCTTTAAAAAAAAATGTTTGAATACAAGTAAATAATTAATTCAAATTGTTTTGTTTTCTAATTCAAAACATTAATTCAAAACAACTGTGTATAAAATTGTTTAAAAAAATGTAAAATATATTTTATTATATACAATAAATCAATTGTAAATATTTAAATGAAACAATAATCAGCATTGTAAAATGATTCATTATTATTATTCTTTTATCTAGAATTATTTAATTTAGCATTGAATGAAAAGTAAAATTTTTTAATTAGATTTGATTATTTACAAAAATATTTCATGAGCTAAATTATTTAAAAAATATATTTTAATGAATCTTTTTTTTTTAACACTCACTAAATGAATGAAGTATATTACAACCTCAGGCATCATACACGTAAAAAACTAAATTTCCTGTCACAACTTCATTTTTACATCTCTAACTTTTTTTGTTTGTTTGTTTTTTTTTATACAGCCGCTAACTCCTTAAAGAACCTCCATCAAATATATTCTGTGCCGATTGTGAATTACGTATTTATATTTTTTGAATGCAGAGAAATATTTCAAGATGAAAAAGAGTGACTGTAAGGAAGCGTTGGAGATCTACAAGAGGTTCCTGACCCGGGTGACAAAGATCGGGGAGTTCATGAAGTTAGCAGAGGTATTTGCCAACACGCTACGGACAGGCTGATTTGCGACGCATCGACCCTGAAGATACTCACCGGAATATATTCTTTATCCTCTGCGACAAATGACTCATATTACAGTAACTTATGGGTCACCTACAGTAGTTGTGTGGTTCACTAGTTCTCTCCCTTCAGACCGTCGGAGTTGACAAAAACGACATCCCGGACATCAACTACGTAAGTCATTGCAAACTGCACGCGCGCACGCACGCACGCCACATCTGACCCACCACCGTGCCCCCCCTTACCCCTCCCACACACCTTCCCAGTGTCTCCACCCCGGCGTGGTGGTGGACCTGGCAGACTCGGATGACGACAGTCCGTTTAAACCTCCGGAGGAGGAGCCGGTAACCGTAGCAACAGCCGAGTGCCTGCTTGCAGGATGGAGTGTCGGCATGCTGAGCCTAATTCCATTTGACACGCGCGCTCGACATACGCGTTTGATTTGTACTCGTCATATTTCTACTTTTCGCTGTGTTTGTTTTGGCTGCACTGTTTCCAATCGTGTGTTTCAATGTAGAATTTTTTATTTTTTTATTTTTGGTCCAATCAGATTCGGCCTTCTGTGTTGCTATGTCAACCTAATCTTCCCAGGGCCTTCAGAATCAGTCGTGCTGGGCCATGCAACTGAAACAATACCAGCGATGGGACCATTTTGTTTCTCCAATCCGATTGCAAATTTGCCCTCACAGGTCCAGCGCACTTTTTGATGTCCGCATTTTTCCATCCTGTGGTTAGTCAGAGCGACATTTGTTGGAAGGAACTTTGATCAGCAAAAACCGTCTGTAGCGATCTGCACACATTGATGTATTAAGAAATCCGTATCTCAGCAGATTTGGAAGATTATGAGGTGAAAATGACCTTTATTTAAAAAAATATGACTTTCTCTTGGTAAATATTGATTCGGAACCGCCTCATCCAGATCAGGCGTCTGGCACTGTTACATGCACTTCTCCTGTTTTGCATTTTACTCGACACTACTGGTGGTTCTTACACTGGCATAAACAGTTGGATTAATTTGCTTCAGTCCCATCTGAAGGCCCAGGTATCAAATGCATGAAAAGTTTATTGATTTACTTATGATTATTTTTATTTTTCATGCGTTGGTGATTGCTGTTCTTGTGTGTCAGGCTCCCAGCAGCATCCTGGAGTCTCTGGAAACGCACATGAATGGCCTGGAGGATGTAAAGGGTGGCAAGAAGGGGTAAATAAAGTCATTCATATCTTCTTCTTCTTTATTTATTTATTTATTTAAATTCAACTTTACTGATGGAATTTTTTTTATCATTAAAATGTCAAATTCAGAGACTCAAAAACATCGCATTTAAAATTGGTGACGTGGTGGTGATTACGATAAAACACTTTTTGATGACATAAATTGGGATAAAAGTCGGTTTACATTTTTATTTAAACAGCCCTTTATTTAATCATACTTCAGTCTACATTTTGAACCCCCCCCCCACCCAAAAAATGGCCACTTATGAATGAACCAATTAGTGTTGATCTTGAATGGTGACTGTTAGCCCGGTGCTGTATTTCAATCATTCCCTTTAACCCTTCCTGTCTTTTATCCCCCTTTTTTTCCATTCATTTGGGATCACCAGTGAAGGGTGAGCATAAACTGTGTGTTGGCTTTTGGAGCCACCAAGCTCTTTGAATGTTACACTGTATTTCTTGTTTTTTTTTTTTAAATGAATAACATCCCAGCCAGCTAATCTGGCACGCTATTCACATGGGAACCAATCCTCTGGGAATAGATATCGAGTTTAGTACCCTTTTAGCTCATCTAGCAAGTTTGTGTGTGTGTTGGTTTGAATACATGCGATGCATACGCTAACCAAGAGTGCGTCGACTCATGCGGACCTGCAATATGAATCATAATGCAATGCGGTCTGGCAAGAATTTAGTTTAAAACCATACAAAGAATTTCTTTTCATTGACACAAATAAGGGGGGGGGGTGTCAATTTGCGGTGAGGTGAATATTAAGATGGGTTGAAGAATTCAAAATGACGTTACAATTAGCATTCCGTGTGAATTATTGGAGACATTTTTGTATGATGTGTAAAATGAGGACAACATTCCTCCTAAATTCTCATGAGACCAGGCCGCATCCTATGAAGGGGTTTCTTCCCGAGACGAATCATTTGCTGTTTTCGCACAAAACGGAATAATTGACATCGTTACAGAAAATCTGTACGATGTTATGTGTTGCATTTGGGATGAACCCTTCATATGATCACATTATGACGTCATTTTTTTGGGGGGTTTTTAATTCAAGCATTTATTCCATATCTTCTTCAAGTGGGGTTTTTGTTCCCCCATCACACGGCATTCAATGACAATTCTCCCTTTTTCATTCAATTCTTTCAGGTCTCCGACTAAGGTAAGCGCCACATTTCGACTGGTTTCTCCTTTTGCTTCCGCCTCGTGTCCGACCGCAAAGCGTGATTTGTGCGCCCCCTTGCAGGGTTCTCCCACAAACAACGTGTCGCCAACTTCCACTCCGGCCAAATCCTCAAACGCGGTCCCCGCGCTGCAGCCCCCGCCTGGGGAGAGCGCAGCCGCCGCCGCCGCCGCTCCGGCTGCAACCGAGCCAGCGGAAGAGTACGTACCAGCTTCATTGCAATTCATAATTTGCGTCCTTGCCCTCAAATTATTTGGATTATTATTATTATTTTTTTTTTTTAACTCGAAGCATCATTTCAGAGCTATCTGCATACACACACAAAATAAATTAGCTTTAAAGATCAAATGATGAACCGTTCGCTCACGGATTCTACCTTTTATTCAGTTCCTTGTTGGACCTGGATCCTCTGTCCTCCTCTGGCCCCCCAGCAGCCTCTGCCGGCCCCACGTCCTGGGGAGGTAAGACCCCACGTCCGCGATTCTCCAAACCACTGCAAAAAAATAGAAATGATAAAAACATGAGATGGAATTTAAAGGATGGCAGATCATCAAGTGGCTAATGAACGACATCTTGTGTCGCTCTTTTCACAGACCTTCTCGGATCAGGTGAGTGCTTTTCTGGTGCCTCCATGTTTTTCCAAGGCCTTCCCCGCTGGCCCAAACACAAATTGAAAGCAACACTATTTATTCCCAGTAGTCTATTCGATGAATTTCATATTTTTCTCTTGGCTGCAATGCTTCAAGTACACATTGGATTGTTTTTGTCCAATCGGGTTCCAGCCTCTCTGTGTTGCCATGCCAATCTCATCTGCCTAGAGATATTACCAACAGGGATATTTTTTTTTCACCACTCTCACATTTCAAATTTATCCTCACAGGGCCAAAGTGTTGGCTTTTGATGATGTCAGCATTTTTCCATTTTCACTTATTGCTTCGTCAGAGCAAAACTTGTTCCAGCCGACTTCCACTGACGAGCAGATGTCTGTAGCAATCCGCGCACATTTAACTCATCGCCATTTCTGGAGATGATGATAGCTTTTTTTTTGAAACTCCGAAACTCTCCAGATGAAGTACGTGGGTGCAGTTGTGCCCGAGAATACTGCTTTTTTTTGTCTATATGTTGAGTTTAAATGTTTAGACAGTGTTTGGGTGTGTTCTGGATCCTGTTCGACTCTCGATGTGTCTTGCTGACCTCCTTGTTTATCTCCCCTAAGATCTCTCTTAGTCTCAGTGGTCTTCTTGTCTCTCTCTCTTTCTCTCTCTCTTCCCTCTCCCTCCCACATCCTCCATTGTCTGAATTTGGGGGCCAATTTGTTTTTCGTTTGAAATTTGTTGACTGGAATTTTGCTTTAATTGGGCTTCATTTTCATTTTTCTACCCCCTCAACGTGGGTTGGGCTTACTTTATTTGGGGGGGCGGGGTCTGCAAACCCCTGCACCCTTAACCCCGCGCACAACCCCCTCACCCCTTTCCTCAGAAATGGGCGATTCCTTGCTAGCCGAGCCCACCCTGGCAGCGGAGGCCGCCGCCTCCTCCCCTGCCGCCGCCTCCGCGCCCGCCCCCGCGGCACCAGAAGCTGGAGTCCCTCTAGCTCCTCCCGCTAGCACAGCGACCGCCACCTCCCCTGGCGCCACCAATATGGATCTGTTAGGAGGTTAGTGGGCTCCCAGGGAGTGGGGTTGTCTACCTCACATCCTCTCTGGGAAGCTCAAACCCCACCCAGAACCCGCCTGATGATGTGATGCCACACTTAGCTGCATGCACGGGTATATTTCAATTACAGCCCCGTTTCGAGTGCCAAAACAGGCTGTAATCTAAAAAAATTGTAGCCACATGAGCTTTGCTATCACAGTGGAACCACTCAGGTTGGAGATGATCTGTCCCCGGATGCTAGTTCGTTCATACAAAAAAAAACAAAGTGAAACAAGTTAACTCAACAATTGCCTTAAGCTGCACCAAAGAGCAGGAAAAGAACAGGAAGACTCAACAGGAGATGTTCTTCAGCAGCAACGTATTACAACGATCTATTTTCAACTAATCAAGTGGACTCAAATGTCTTCCAACCGAACAATTTCACTCATTGTCTAAAAAAAAAAAAACAACAACAACAAAAAACTCCAGATATTCAATCTTGAGGCGACATAATGCTGCACAGCTCCCGCAGAGTGAGCCATCAGCTATTTTCAATACTTGAAATTGCTGAATAACGTGTGGAAATAACAGGCGACGTGGGGATAGACCAGTAGTATCGATTTTGGAAAAATATGAAATTGACTATATTTGGACCTTTGGAGGTTTAGTCCCGAAAGCAATGATACATAAACGTGGACTTTAAAAAAAATGATACTGATTTTGATAGTTCACGCACAACAAGCGATCACCTTCCGTGCACTTCTTGGGCACGCCCTGACTCCGATCACGTGAAGTTACGCTTAAGTCTGAGGGTGACGCCAGTTAGATGGTGGCTGGATGGCGCTCGGAGCCACTTCGGGGGCGTGTGTTGTTCAACTTGGGGCAGTTCCACTTTATTTCCAAATGCGACAAGCCGAGCAATCAATCCGTGGCAACGCATTGATGTGTTCAACCTGCCCGACGCAATCGGCTTCTCAAACACTGATGGAAAGCCATTTGAGCATTTATTCCATCATGCTTCCTGTCTACAGCTTAAGGTCCAGGTACTATTGTGCTCTTTGTCCTCACTCAGAAGACATTTCAGTGCACTTGTCGAATTTTTTTTTTTTTCCCATATCTTGATGCCGTCATTGGGACGAGTGAACACAAAGAGCATACTCGTCCTTCGATCTGAAATGCAGATATCCAAGGATATGGAACAAACGTTCAAACGACTTTTTCATCGACACTTCAGTTTGATTGACTTGCTTTTCGCCGCGTTTGAGAAAAGCCCGTCTTGTCTATCAAACGCTTGCCCCGTGGCATCACCGCGTACGGAGCGACGACTGTACTCTCCGTGCCGTCACGTTAGAATGCCTCCTCGTCTGTGCTCCCATTCGTCCGTCCACCTTTGTGTCCCACGCCAGAAGCTGCGGCGTCTTTCCTTCTTCTCTTCGGCATCTCATTTTCTTTTCCCTTTTCTCCCGTCCGCTGGGGTTTTTGTGCGGTAAAACCTCAGATGCCTTCGCCGCACCTGCCGCCGCCGCCGAGGCCTCCGCCGCGGCAGCTGAGGGCGGAGCCGCCGCAACGCCCGCCGCAGGAGCTGCAGCCGGAGCTGGTGGGTGACTCATTGTTATGTTTGGGGCCCGATCGATATGGATTTTTGGAGGTCGATGCTGATTTGGATATTTGGCAGAATAAAATTCCACTAACCCACTCGTTAAAAAAAAAAAAAGAATCAGTCAGGCCTTAGTTATGTTATAAAGTGCGTCTGTGGCTAAGTGGCTCGCACATCTGCCTCACATATGCGATGGTCTGGGTTTGAATCATGATTACGACCTTGCTCTGCGGAAGATGAAAGGGCCTTTTTCCCCAAACTGTTTCCAAGCATACATAAATGGGTTGGTAAGATGGAGAAAGAAAGGCCAGCTCAAGTCAACAACTGCTGCCATCTGTGCTGCTTGTTGCCACGGAGACAGAAGACAAAGGACTTCCTGCTCTCGTTTAAGCAATCGTCTTCACACTTCTTTGGAACAAAAGGATGCGGGCAGGTGGCCGCTCCGTCGATATGTGAAGAGATACTTTTTTCAGGTGTGAAGGTAATGGCGGCCCGTCAAGTGAAACAGACGCCACCTTTGACTGTTAGCCCACAAGTGACAACATGGGGCGTGTGGGGGCTGCTCAGCTGCATTCAAGGAAACTGGGAAAGTCGAACGTAATTTACCATGACTCTGTTTACAGATCAATTTTCATTTGAAGTGTTCAACTGCTATTTGTGGATGATAAGGGCCGAGCCCGACCGCAAATAGTGAACATCTGTTGAGAATTGCGACAAGATGGCGACAAAGCACTGCTTTTGTTTTCGTCATGACACGAGCGGCTTTACCAGTAGTGGTACTCGTTTGTTTTTTCTATGCGGAATCGTCAGGCAACCAAACAAATGATTCCTAGGAATCAAGTTATTGGGAGCTGGTTCTAACAGACCACCGGTTTTCCAATCGCAAATACCAAGGTCTCCCCTGTACCTTAATTAACTAGCTTTTGGAGTAGAATGCCAAGTAATTGACTGGTATCGGGGCTTGAAGAGCTCCACAGAGTATAAAGTAAAAACCTGTGGACCTAGGATAGGGCTTTGCAGAACACCACCAGTATCTATCTCTCGTGGATTCTTGGGTTACAACGGCATTCCTGTGGTGACGTAACTACATTTTTGTCGGCAAATTGGAAGGCGCAGTAATCTATCGCTAAGCTACGCTAACATCGGGATTAAGTCATAAATACAGTAAAATAAATAGGCAATGAATATAAGACCATCAGATGAAAAACAGTAAGTACAGCGGTAAATGAAAATGCTTTTTCTTCCGCAGGATTTTTGAGCAAATAATTTTAAGTAGGTCAGGGTGTCATCATCATTAATTACATGTTCAACTATCCAGTTTTCTTGAATGCAGCATTCCTCGATCCTCCATCTCAGCTTTCATGACCACAGCAAAATTCCATTTTCAGTTTTGTTTTTAACTTCTAACATCACTTCCTCCACATGTCACCCCCATCACGTCTTACAAGACACCTTCGCTCTTTCGGACGGGAGCACTGCTGCCACAGCGCCTTCGGGTCTAGGCCTTTTTGATGTGGAAAAGTCATGTTTTAGCTCCGTGGTGGCCCCCGCCTCCCCGTCATCTGTCTTCACTTCTGCATCCGCGGCGACCGTAGCTCCCGACGCCCACCCTACGACCGACCTTTTCAGTGGTAAAATGTCGGATGCGTGCCCGCGCTACTCTGCTCTTCAAATGCATTTTGTTGCCTGAATCCAGTGGCGGGCGGTCTGAGCAAACTTGAGAATGGAGGTGCGCCACATGCTGGCTGATGTAACAAACGTCTTTCGAACCAATCAGAGTTGAGATTTCCTCACAGCGCCAGAACGCTGGCCCTCAATAATATTGGCATTCTTCTGTCTTCTGATTGGTTGCTTATGGTCAATTATCGATAGTTTCTACTCTTAGGATGTGATAATGTTAGCATAGGTCAAGTTAGAAGGTCAGGTTGCCAAATGTACCGCCCGTCACTGCCTGAATCATTTCACATTGAATGCAAAGACTCTCGTAATCGACTTGCCTGCTGTCACGATTGAGCATCTGGGCCGTGTTTGTAGCCTTCTTTGCCCCGACGTCAGATACCCAAGCAGAGGCCACGCTCACAGTTGACTTGTTCACAGCAGGTACCCCCTCCTATGGTGTGCTCTCACTTCCTGCTTCAACGTGTCACGCGGCGGCCTTGAAAAGATAAAATGACCTTTTTAGGGCGGGGAGGGGGAATTCCGCTTTCTTCTTTAGCATGTTCTGCATGCTACATAAAGAGCGTTTCCTCAAGTGGGGAGGGGCAGTTCGAGCGGCCCACTATTTGAGGAAACTTGTGTGCGTCAAGGTTTATTGTATCATGTGAAATGTCACTCCATTCACCCCCCCCCCTCCCTCCCTCCCTCCCCCCAGCGGATTTATTCGACTCCTCAGCCATCCCACCCATCCATTCTTCCGTACCCCCACCCAAAACTGACAGCAGAGACATCATGAGCCTATTTTGTGGTGGGTAGCCTCACATGATGAACGTGACAACGGTGTTAAAAGTTTTTATTTCTTTCCAATACGTCGTTCCCTGACTATTGCAGAATTTTTGGTGGAACCGGCGCTTTGGAGTGTGCACAAAAACAGCTTTTTTTTTCCTCCAGCAAATAATGGGCTATAAGTTTCTAATGCGAAATCTGCAAAAATATACAAGTGAACACCGAAAATGTGTTTAAATGTGTGTGAGGGAAGACATTTTTGAAGCCGTCTGGTGTGTTGGATGTCAATTAATCGCGTTTATCGCTCATTTGAAGAGTAATTTTGGATGTATATCACCATCTGCCCTGTCTAACTCTCCTCATGTTTTGGCATTAGCAGCGTGAGGCTCCCAGGCTGACTGTATCTTCTTCTTCCTTCACGCTGCAATGGATATGATGTTTTGCGTGGCTCTGTTGGGTTGACCCGACAGAGTCCACTGGAGCCGGAGGAGGCGATGCTTCGGCGGCCGCTGCCGCCACCCCCGGAGCAGAACTTATCTCAGGTAAAAGTAGACTAATTGCGTTCTTCATCTTAAGGTAGTAGGAGGTCAAAAGTGGTATCGGTAATGAAAAAAAAAATACAACGGGAACCAAACAGCAAAACGCGACAACTAAAAGTGTGCAGCTTTGAGTTTGTCCCCCCCTCCTCTAATCGCCACCAGAGTTCTGTCATTCTGGACTTTGGCATCTTTGTGTTTTTCTTACTTTTGACGCTCCCTCGCTGGCTCTCATTTTTGTTCTCTTCCTCCTGCTTCGTCTCTTCCGCTTGTGGCTCTTGGGCTGGCTCATTGCTTGCTTCCTGCCATTTGACTCGGTGAGTTTCCCCCTCCCAGCGCCCCCCACTCTTGCTTCTTTTCACGCGCAGCGGTGCAAGTGCTGCATTGCAGTGCGTGAGCGCTGCGCTTAGCTCTTTGCTGTACACAAACGGACGGACACAAAATGACACAGAAACAGACACGATATTGTATCAACACGCATGCATCGAGATACACGATTAGCCAAGACTCAATTTTACACACGACCACTGAAATTATTCCACACAAATTACACAAACAGACCATGAGGGGAGTGCGCCTTCCCGTCCCTTTGACATGTTAAAATGTGGATATGACACACTGAAAATATTTCAATCATCTAATTTTTTTGAGAAGGTAAATGTAGTTTTTTTTTTTTTTTGGTTAGCTGGAAGCATCCACATGTCCTATTTAAACAGGTGTCACTTCAATTTGCCTTGAAAGCTCCCCTCCCTCTGTCGTCATGGCAACAGTAGAACCGTACTGTGCTGTAGTAAGCTTGCGTGTTGCAAGACCGCCTAATGTCTCCCTCTCCCATCCTCCCACAAACTTCCCCCTGCAATCCTCCCTCGACCCCCCCCCCTCCTCATAGCACTTGGTGGCTTAGGGGATGTAATGAAGCCCACCCTGACCCCCCAGGCGGGCGATGTTGACACCTCCATGGCTAACGTGGCGAGTAGTAAGTCGTCCTTTTTGAGTCACGGCAAATTTCTACGTTAAGGTTGTGGTGCGTTCAAGAAGAAAAGTCATTTTGCAGTAAGTGCCTTGTTGTGTCTCTCATTCTATTCCTGCCGAATCAGATCTGACGATGGGATCCCCAGCGGCACCTCAGGTAGCTCCCCCCAGCTGGGGTGCCCCCATGGTAAATGTTGTCTGTGTCTTACGTGTGAGCATGGAGCGGAGCCGCATGGTAGGACTGAGCCGCATTGCTTTCATCTGAGTTTGCGTTTCATCTTTGTGTGAGAGGGTGGGGGACATGATGAAAAAAAAAATTGCTTCACTAGTAACGAGTGCTGTCCATTTAACGCGTTATCGGCATTCATTTAAATCAGTTTTAACAGGATAAATTTTTTTAATCGCGAGATTAATGTGGTGCCACGTCACAGCGGATGTTACGTTGCTGTAAAATAATAAAATGTGCTCCAAGTTTGAATAACTGCTCCAAGTGAAAAATTTTAATGTAAAATTGAAAACCAAAATTGTTGTTTCGGTAAATATTTGCATTTTGCACAAAGAAAACGGATCCACGATTCCATGTTGATGAGAGCATTAGAATGGGAAAAAAATAGGACAAAAAGAAATCAAAGGAAATTTAAAATAGATAAAAATGTGGGATTAATTATGAGTTAACTATGACATGATACATTTAAGCGCGATTAAATATTTTAATCGTTTGCCAGCACTACTAGTAACGTGTACTTGCCCTACTAGTATGCCAAAGTTGCCTGACGAACATGCAAGAATATCAAAACAGTAATTCGGGGCGGAGGGGGGGGGCACTTTAGAGGTTCTACAAGTGTACTGAATTGTCTTATTTATGAGGACAAAGAGTATACTTGTGCTTGGACCTGAAAATGGATATTAAGGCTATGGAACAAATGCTGAAACAGCTTCCCATACACAGCCCCCGATTTCACTCGCATGCTGGCAAGTTAACGCTTGGATGCGAACACGTGTAAAGCACTCGTGTTATGGTTTGTGTTGTGTGTCGCTTTTCGTTGCTGTGCGTCTCTCATTGTTGTTGTCTTACATGAAAGTGACCCCAACTCCGCCTCCTCTCCTTCCCCCTTTACACCTTTAGCCATTTATGGGGACTCACCCAGGCTACGGAATGGTAAGAGCACCAGTCCGGTCCAGCAATGTCCCCCCAAATAAATAAATAAATGGCGGACATGATTGGAAAGTGTCGGACGCCGATTACCCTCAACCCCCCCCCTTTTTAGGTGTCACACGCAGTCAGGCTGTGTTCGGAATCACTCATGAGCTACGATATTTGCCGTTTGCCATTTTGTATTGCTGTTCGAGTATGTTGCACTAAAGCTCAATTGCCCAAATATGGTTTGTTTCCTTTTTTATTCTCTCAATGAATACTGTTAGTCTGTCCCCTTGTCGTTTGTTATATTGACGAAGATTACACCAGACAGCGACGATCTACAGTCACGCTAGGATCGTTCAAGTCACTGCAAGTTATTTGCCACACGGAAATATAGGAGAGCCGAGAGAAATCCCACGACCCGAGCCCACTCGAGAAAAATCCCCGCAAAGTGACGACGACTGAGTGAAGGATTCTGAACACAGCCTCCGTTTCAATGTCACACTCGTGTCTTAGCGTCTCCTGTTCTGTGTGTCTCATTGAAAAGCCTGGGGCACCGGGTGTTGGAGTTCCCATGATGCCTTTGGTTAGGCCGGGCTTCCCTGCCACCGGCGCCCCGGTAACCTAGCATGAAGATTTGCCCACAAAGAGTACATTTTATCGGCATTGTTGATTCCGAGTGGGGCGTGTGTGCGCGTGTACGCAGATGTCCCCTGGAATGACTCAGAGCCCCAGAAAGCCTCCCCCACCGAGGAACGCTCTGGATGACCTGAACATCAAGGACTTCATGTAGGCCGACACGCAGACCTTCTAAAAGGTACAATGGCATTCGGTTTTGCTGTTGGAGGGACTATAAGAATATTTTCTTCTTGAAACATTTTCCTGTCCCTGTGGCTGTTTGGGGTTGTGTCAGGGGTTTTTATAATGTGGTCCCGAAACCAATTCCCGATCTTAAATGCCTCTTGAATATTACCGAACTGTGTTTTAATGTGTCGTTACAGGTGGTATTGTGTGGCGCTCTGGATGTCTGCACTGCCCCACTGCCGCCCTTCAGTCACGCCCTCCGATCATCAGCCCCCTGAACCCTGAACCCGCTCCCAGAGGCTGCAACCCCTCGAAAACACCCCCTCGCTCCACCTCCTACCCCATATTGTACTGTTGTAGCACAACCGTGAATGTGAACCCTAGATACAGAACACCGTTTTATGTGTGAGTGTGTGCGTGTGTGTGTGTGTGTATCAGTGTTAAACTTTACTTAATATATTACGGCGGGTGGGGGGAGGGGGGGGCGGAGAGAAAGAAAAAAAATGAATGCATATTTCGAATTATTCTGGACAAAGGTGACTTGAATGGAATGGTAAGGTGGTTTCTTTATGCATCTCGCAAACAAGGACCGTGTTCTTCATTGTGGACTGTGTTTCGG